GCGTGTCGAAGAGGGAGAGGGAAGCTGCCGGGATCTTGAAATCCGGGCCCATGTGTTGGTTCATTGTGTTGCCTTGTAAAACGAACATTGTGCTCATCTGGCTGTAGACGGCCGAGAAAACGATGCCCGTGGCCCAAACGGGAAGGAGGCGGATTACCGACTTTAGCTCCTCGACTTGGGTTACCGTGCAGAGGCGCCACGGGCTGTCGTGGCCCGATTTTAGGATGTCGGCACCGGTGTCCACCGCAGCCTTGTCGAGGAATCTGTAGAGATTCAGTATAAAAATCAGGGTTATGTTTGGTAAACTCAACTTATAAACATGATAGTTGATAACTTATAAGTGACTTTCTGAAAAGCTAGATGATACAATAAAAGTGTATTAACCGAGATGATAAGCTGTAGATTCATTACAAACTAGCAAATAAACTAGCTTATCAGCTAGTTGATAGCTTATAAGTGAATTTCAAACTTATAGCTGATGACTCATGGTTTATGGCTGAAAAGATAGCTGATTTGATAAATATGTGTTGGTAAAATTAGTAAATAAATCAGTTGGAATAAAAATTACATACGACTTATTTGAGAAGTTATTCCTTAGGAAGCTTATAAAATAAACTCGAGCTTTTTAAAAAAGTTCGTCCTGCCAAACTAAGTTTATTTGCATACAGAAAACTTATAAGCTAATCAAACATGTTAATCACCCAAAATGACAACCGCCCCTCAATTTTTTATTTTTTTCGTTCTAATTTCCAAATCACGACAAAGTTTTGAGGGACATCATTAGTAATTCACAAAGAAACCCAACCCGAAATCGAACGAACATTCAACAAAAACTACAAAACACCAAAAGTACCTGAACTTCTCCGTGTGCTCAAGCTTGCGGCTACCTTGAATACTCGACGCGGCATCGCCCGTCTCGTACAAAAGCGACCCGTCTTTCGGTACCTTCACGTTAAACTTCCTAACCGAAGCAACCAATACCTGAAAAATCCTCGTGATTGGGCTCCCGCCGGGCCTCTGAAGTCGATACATTCCACTCCCGAACACAAAGAAGGCCACAGCCACGGCCATGGCAACTGCGGGAATCCCGAATCCCCAACCCCAACCGACATTCATCTGAACCCACACGAGCACGGACGCGGCCACGAGGGCCCCAATGTTAATGGAGAGGTAGAAATAGTTGAAAAACGAGCTTTTTCGCTTCTTTTCCTTCTCGTCTTGCTCGTCAAACTGGTCGGCACCAAAGGAGGAAACGCACGGCTTGATGCCACCTGTCCCGAGAGCGATTAGGTATAGAGCTGTGAATGTGATGCCGGTTTGTAGGGGTGTTGGGTGGCAGTCGAGGCTTTGGTTGCAATGTGGGGCCAATCCGTGGATCGAGGCAGATAATGTCAAGAGAGTCATTCCCTAAAAAAAATGTTTTTTAGATTCTTAATAGAAGCTAAAAAGTTTAAAGAACAATTATGATAAAGAAATTAAGAATGGAATCAAGAGTTAGTTCATTTCCATTGTTCTTTTCTTTGCAAACAATGCTTAAAATGGGATCAAAAGTTAGTTCATTTTAAGCCCGGAAAGTTAAACAAGTCGGTAGCTTTCGGGCAAATAAGTTGTGCAGATGTTTTTATTGTTCTTCTTCGAACGATGAATCAGAAATAACGAAGCATTCGAAAGTAGTTTCTTTTTTTTTTTCGAATAA